AGAACTTTGTTCTTCTGCTGTGTTTCTGGAATCTTAACAATTATATGCCTATGTGTAGATTTTTTTTGATCAAGGCTATTTGGAGCCCCAATGCCTCACTTATCTGTATGTCAAGCTCTATTCCCCTGCTTGGGAAGTTTTCTACCATTACTTCTGTGAAAAATTTTTTTATGTCATCTGCAGTCTCTCTTGTTTCTTCTTTAATTCCAACCAGTCTTATGTTATTCTTCTTTGCATCATCTAGCCACTGCTGGATTGATTTGTTATGTTCCCTTACAGTTTTGAAGCAATTTTTCTTTTACTGTCACTATTTGCAATCTTATCTTCTATATCTGAAATTCTGTCCTCACATTGGCTCATTCTTCTGTGTAGACTTTCAGTGGAGTTTTTCATCTCCTGCTAATCTGTTTCCATGTGTTTTATGGATTCCATTTGTCTCCTATGTTGGGATTTCATCATATTCCTCAGATCCTCTTTAGATTTATTAATCATGTCTTACACTATTAGCACAATCTCTGCTCAAATCTGAGAAATTATTTCTGATTTCATTTTTTCAAGATTCTCTTTTGTTGCCATTTCAGGGGATCCAGGTGGTTGAGTATCAGAGTGTTCCATCTCATTTCCCTTTGGGATTGCTGTAGGTTATCTGGAAGCCTGGTTTTGATACTTTTTTACATGTCTTCTCATTTTGACCTGGGGGGAGTGCTGTTGGCTTCTGCGTGACTCACCTCCTCCGAGCTCGGAGAGGTGGGACAGTGGCTCAGAAGCCCCTTTCTCTGGGTCCGGAGCAGTGGGACAGTGGCTCAGAAGCCCCTACCTCTGGGTTGGGAGTGGCAGGATGGACAGTGTCCCAGAAGCCCCTTCCTCTAGTCTCAGAGTGGCTGGACAGTTGGTGGCCAGTAAGCCCCTTCCTCTGGGCCAGGAGCGGAGGGACAGATGGTGTCCCAGAAACCCCTTCCTCTGGTGAAGTATTATTCTAATGACAAAACTTAAATGACTTTCAAGTCTGTTACTTAGCTAACATCTCTGAAGCATTACTTGGACCACTTTCTTCTGAAAATTTTGTAAATATAGCTTGAGAAATAATATTTAAGAGGATGAAAGAAAAATGGAACCCTTTGAAATAGAAAAGGAAATTTCTGAGTAAGGCATCATTGATGCTAAAGATGAGAAGCTTCAAGGGGAGCATCGTCAGAAGCAACAAACATTCCTGAAGTAAGTAAGTAAGTGCTGGAGGAACCCACTGGACATGACAACCAAAAGTCATTCGTCTGCCACTAGAAAACAACTCACTGGGAATGGAGGAGGAGAAGCAGCCTAGAATGAAGTAGATATACGGCAGAGTGTATTGATCCTGTTAAGAAGGTCTGCTGTGATTAAGAAGGTGGAAGATGAATTGATTAATGTGGTACAGAGGATTTTGTTTGTTTTTAGTCAGAATATGACTAATTCAAGAGAAAGAAGAAGGAATAAATAATGAATAGTATAAGATTGCTGAGCTATTGAAAGATTTGAGACAGAGAAAATAATAATCAAGTTATTTTCTTTCTAATTACAAAGGCAGTATGAAATTACAAAACTTCAAATAATTCAATATTATATAAAATAGAAAGCAAAAGCCTCTTTCCTGGGAATTCCAACCTCAGAATAACATATCCTTAACAATTTATTGTGAACATTATTCCAATGACTGTATAAAGATCTAGTCTAATCTTTGACTGTATAGTACAGTATTTTACTAACAGTATGTGTCGGTGCTAATTTAGCCAGTATCCTATTGTTGAACAACTTATTTGTTATTTATGTTTAGAAAACAAGGTTACAATGAACATATTCACACATATGTCCTCTTTGCACACATAAGAGTGTATTTGAAGATTTATTTTCAAAAAGTGGCAAGTGCTATCAGTGAGGAAAAATACTCAAATTTGTAACATAAAAAAAAAATCTCACTTCCAAAGGATAAAATTCTCATTTATTACTATTTATAGTTTATGAAAACAAATGTTGATGAAGTGTATGGTGAGGAATAAGAGTGATTTGGAAGTGACTGTGAAAGGAGGGATTGAGTTGCCAGTAAGGTGACACCAAGGTAGTATAAATGTCAGTAAGCCTAATTAATGCTTTCTCTTGAAAAATATTGTCAGAAAAGTCCTACAATTTGATGAGGCTTTCCAAAAGCCTTAGTATTAAGAGTTGTTTAGGAGAGTCTGAAGCTTACTTAACAGAAGTCAGTAGATTTAAGTCACTAGAATTAAACTCAATAGCCAAATGCACAATTGATTTTGTATTTACAACACATTTCACTTGGTAATTTTGAACGGTTAACAAGATAAGTGCCTTTGTATATCAATAATCATGCACTTAACTATACGTTTTCGTGGTTAGGAAACAGTGAGCCTATTACCTTGCCATCAGGGTAGTTGATTTGGAGTTTCTGCAAATAGTAGACAATAGGAATTTAGAAGCAAATGTTTATGGTTTTGTGTGTGTGTGTATTACCATAAATCAACAAACTAACCTTCTTTCCCTCCCTCCCTTTTTTCCTTCCTTCCTTCCCTCCTTCCTTTCTTCCTTCCTCCCTCCCTCTCCCCTTCCCTCACTCCCTCCTTCTTCCTCTTCATCTTTCTCTTTTTCCCTCACTTCTTTCCTTCATTCCTTTGTCTTCTATTTTGGTTCACAGTCAAGAGGAACATGGACTGTTGGCTCATATGCTGCTCATTTTTAAAATTCGTTCTACTGAAGATCCTGAAACCATTAATAAAATTATTCAACATGTTTTACATAAAAAGCTGAAAAATGCAGTAGGACCCCCTAAGGTTAATCCTGATTCAGTTGAAGTTCAAAGTAAGTTGATTTATCTTATTTTGTTTATTTCTCTTAGAAAATTTCTATATATATTAGATTTGGGCACTCATTTTAATTTTTCAGATGTCCTTAATTCTGGGGTTTGCTACCAGCAGGACATTGCTTTGTAAGTAAACTGTTCTTAATAAAGTATCTTAATTTTTAGAAGGACCCTAAACATATGCTTCCCATACAAGCTGGCCATTCATTCCTGGGCAAATTATTCCATATTTGGCCTTACACTTTGGCTATATTATAGATTATTATATATGTATTATAACATTATACTATATTATATATAGTATAT